CCGGGGAATAATAACACTCATTAGCACGTTGACGAGCAGCCTATTTTTGCTTGTCCGCCGCGTGGGACCACGCGCATTTTTTTTGTCAAAAAATGCGTCCTGCCATCAGGACGCATGGTCCCAGAAAACATTTTTTTTTGCCGAGTTTTTTTAAAATGTTGAATTTTTTGGAATTTTTATCAGTAATTACGAAATCATAATCTTCTGGAACGTTCTCAACAGGGGATTCATTGAAAATGAAATCTGCATCCTGGCATAAGGACGCATTGTCGCCAATGTGTTAGAGGAATTTCCAACTCTAATCCATTTTAGCGCTCGCGAGGGCTCAAAAAAAGGGGAAGTACTGCTTGAACGTTGACATTTCATCGCTGGCACCACGCGGCGGACAAGCAAAAATAGGCTGCTCGTCAACGTGCTAATGAGTGTTATTATTCCCCGGAAGTATCCTTCTGAGGTTGTACCGACCTTAACCCTTTGACATCGGAGGAGGTGGCGCTTAACGATCTCCACAGGCGGCTAAATCGACACACTCAATGAAACTCGTGTAAATATACGTGAACCGCGCTAACATAGGATGACGTGTATATGCGGTAACCGACGCCTTAGGGTTAACAAGATCAGAACAGTAGTTTAGTATTTGAACAACGCAATTCATTTTGTCCAGCAAAGGAGTTTTGTGCCTAACATTACAACAATTGTCTTACCTCTCATCCAGGGGGAAAGTTAGATACACCTTAGTGTGTAACTTTCCACCCTCGCAAGCCGGTAGACGTCCCGTCATCCTCGGAAAAGATACAAATGAGATATCCAAGCCGAAGTCATTCGGTGCGCCATGAAGTGAGTTTGTCAATTTTCGGCATTTCTCTTCGAACCCTCTGGCCAGAAGTACCTGAAGGCTCCTGCAGGATTGCCTCCTTCAAAGGGTCTATCGAGGGATTCCAAAGTCTTCTCTCAAGCATTCTTTACGCTCAAAATTTTGTTAATTATGAAAATTCTTCATCGTATTCTTTACTAAATTCTCAACTTCAAATATGTTTCAACATGTTAAACTTTGATCAATGTTAATCCGACGTTGTTGTGCCGAATTGGTAGAACATCCATGCCACAAAGGCCATCAATGGATCCTTGAAGCAGGTCTAGGCTAAGCATGACATTCAGCCTGCCCTTGTCTCACGTGTTGTCATGGGATCAAATATCCCTTTCTCTTTTACCTGTTCTCTATGAAAACCTCAGCAAAAATATTTATTGGAATCCGTGCTAATACTGATAGCTGATGTGATCATCAATAAATATTCATAGAAAGACGAACACTTTTTGTACAACTGAGAAAAAATGTGAACTTCATGTGGAATGTCAAGTGTAGAAAGTGGGTGCCGTACGATAGTCTCAAAGCAGTTATATAAACTGTACAGATATGGCGCCAATGCACTCTCAGCTCAGATTGGCCACAGTAGTATAAAAAAGGTACGTTTGGCGGGAGGCGCAATGGAGGCGCGGGAGGCGCAATTTTCTATTTATTAAATCATCTCAATTTCATTTGAATTAACCTCGGGTTATCATCGATTTACACGAGTTCTCGGTGAATTAACGTTGAATTATCGAGTGCGCGATGAATTTGCATTATCCATGTACCTTTATGAAGCGATTTTTCGAATTGAAAAATATTATGGCATGAATCTCGCGGCATAAATTCCCAGTTTAATTGACTCTCGTCATTTCCGCTTTATATCAAGGTAATCGATAGGGTCGGATGGAAGGATCGATTACGCCAACGTATTTGGACACATTATCTCCTATGAGTAATGATTGTCGTGGTTTCTTCCGTCACGCTCTTCTGCTTTACAGCCTCGGCCCCTGACGGTCAAGGATTCTGTGTTGCGAAGGGGAGCAGTGAGTATGTTGGGAAAGAAAATATACAAGCATCGGGTATCGTATCGCTATCATTCAGTCGAAAATATGGAAAGTGATAGCACTGACGCTGCGCTTGCCAAGCCCAACAATAATTTCGCCCTCGCGTTGTTCACTGAGAACAAACGCAGGAGGACTTCCAACTGTGTTTCTGCAATAGCTGGTTACGTGGATGTGGCCGAGCTCGTCAGGTGGGGATTCTATCTGGACGTTGATCCAAAGACCGCATCGAAGCTACAGGACAACTTGCAAGAATTATCAAAGCTCATCGTATGCTGTGCATTTTGCCGAGGGAAATGCAGTTTGAAGACCTTCTTCATCACCAGCGAATCGAGTGAAACTATTCGTCTGCGACATCGTCATGTACCTCTTGTCTACGAATCATATTCCACTCCACCAAGTGTCTACAAATGTCACAAGGAAATGAATTGGCTGTGCCCCCTGTTGACTGGCAAATGTCTTTCGAATGTGGAATTTTCATCTCGTGCTCTGAGCAAGGGTTATCCATCTGATGATGAAGATTTCAATCCAAACCGGAAGAAGATGCTTTCTAATGCCAATCGACTCTGCTCGTTTGAGTTCTTCCCGAAGAGATACATTGTATCTATTGATGAAATGGCAAGATGGGGTCTATATTGTGACGGATGAGGATGGCATGGAGAGGGTCGACTGAATGTCCGGGGTTCGGTGGTGTAGTGGTAGCACACCTGACCGGCGATCAGGAGGCCCGGGTTCAATTCCCGGCCGTTCCTTGGCTTCTTTCGTCCTCTCATGCCGTCCGTCCGAGGAACATCCCCCCCGTAACAATATTATACCGGGATCCGCGATGAGACAGCTTCTATTTTTTGTCGTTTGATCATTCACAACTGGGAATACGGAGACAATCCGTACGAGGAACACCGTAGATTTTCTCCCAGTTGTCCATTGATTAGAGGACATAACATCATGGATATCCCATACGAGAATTCACTCAAACCTGATTACGTTAACGCGGAAAAGGAAGGAAAGGAGATGATCGACGCTCTAAACAGACGATCTCCAACGAGTTCCTTCAAATCGGGTAAGTTCGTGTCTCTCATTTTTTGTCAGGTAATGAATAAACTCTTCATTGATTTATTCTCTTGTCTACAGACGCTTCTTCAGAGCTGATCGTTGAGGAAGACGTGGATTTCCACCATTTGTCCGGAGCAGACGGGCAAGGAGGGGAGAAATAAAAAGCAGTGTCCTCAATCGACTCAACTGCTACATATGTATACCAACTCGGATCGGTTTAAATATATATGTTCATCTGTATATACGACACACTTTGTTTCATGCTTAATCTTGTTAATAAAGCATTCCTCTTGAAAATCTTTTACGTTTCATTGAAAGAGAAAAAAAGGAAATGTATCATCAAAAGAATGTCTATCGAGCAGACAAGAAGAGCCATGTGAATTAATATTTAGCAGCAAATCATTATTAAAATAAGCACGGTTTCTCCTCTCATTAATACAACAGGGTTTTCACTTCATCCTAACATTTGTAGAAAATTTCAGGCTTCAATACATTTCTCAGACGGATTGCTGATGCGAGACGGCACGGAGTCGGGGCATAGAGCGCTTGCAGAGAGCATTCCCTGGAAAGAAGTAATTTAACACGTGTGTGCGTGAGGGGGGAAAGTCAGTAACAGCTGTTGACATGAGAGAAAAGAAGGGAGACCAGGCACCCTCATCTCTCTTGTTTTTCCCCTTCTCACTCCCGCTCTTCCGTTCGCGCGAGTGTGCATGGAAATAATGCATCGCAAGCAGTGGCCATGTGCTGAGTGCGGGCGGCGATTTAGCAAGAAAGGAGATCGAGACCGTCATCGACGCACACACCTCAACCGGGTAATGCATAGGTTGACATCCTAACACATCTAATAATCCATATTAGATATAATTACGATAGTGCTAATGGTCATGTAGGAAGAGCGTCCTGTCTATCCATGTCCACATTGCAAGAAACGTTTCTTGAGAAAGGACAACCAACAAAAACACTCTCGTCTATGTCTCTTTCACGCACCAGCACCGTTATATGCAACACCGAACAACCAAGGAGTTCCTCTCGAGATTGCCTTATGCAATGTCCATCACACTGGGATTCCGACAGATCATCCTGATGATTCACTCGAAAATAGACAATGTGAGAACGTCCAGGTATGTGATGCTGGTGCTATCGTATTTGTTTATTTTTACCTTGTCTGTGAAAATACAACCAGTCCCTACATATGTTGCAGCTATCGACGATGACAAATACGTTAACGAGTTCTGTCGGATGTCGTGATTGCCATGGACAAAATGAAGAAGAGCAGAACAGAGGTGAGACGCCACCTGCCAAAAGACGACTCACCTCTCCTAAACAATCCACGAGTTTTGCAGAGCAAATCAACGACAAAAAGTTCGTCTATTTTGACGAAATTCCACTTAATGAAACGGTAAGACGCTCTATCTCTGTTTCGTATTAAAGAGAAAGAGGGGAAAAAATTATTCCTATACTTTCCTGATATTTCAGAACCGAGCGGAATATTGTCCTCATTGCAACCGTGGACCATTCCGTCATCACTTCAACCTGAATCAACACATCCGTGATGTTCACCTTCTACCTAGACTGCACCCAGCAAACCAGGTTGGCGGAGGTTCAGATGTTGAACAACGCATCGGACGTTTCACCCTTGAGGAAACAGCGGCGAATCGTGGTGCAGAAAATTACGCTTTAGATGTTCAGGCAGATATTGAGGATGCTGATCCCGATAAATTTATTCTCGACTCGAACGATCTTCTTCTGGACTTTCTTTCAAAATACTTTCAGCAGTGGGATAAACAAGCCATCAAAATGCAATTAGTATTGTCCATACGTTGTCACCGCCTGACGTTAGAAGGTCGGCAAACGATGACGATGCACATCCGTACCGACCCGATCGGAATTATGGGCGTGCATGACAATCTAGAGGAGAGAGTGAATGAGATCGCTCAGGATCTCACACGAAGGTTAGATGAGGCGGAGAATCGCGGGAGCGGTTGGATCTATGATAGCGTCGAAAAATTCCTTGTAGAAGTGACACGTTTCGATCCGATCCGAGGCAGCAAATTCGTACAACTTCCTGATACGCTCAAGTCCATGCAATCCCTCATCAATCCCCATAACGATGATGATCAGTGCTTTCTTTTTTGCATTGCAATGTTTGATGATCCTCCTAAAGACGGAGCTTTCGGAAACGTTAAGGTTTTCAATAAGTATTTTGCCGAATACGATGTCCAGGGAGTCACTTTTCCCGTTTCACCAGCGCAAGTGCCTCACTTTGAGAAACGAAACGGGCGTGCCATCACGATCCTAGGTTATGAATGGGCGAAAGAGGAACAAGATAGGGTGTACATCATATATGCCTCAACCATGCCTGAGAGCATGCCGCGGATGTTTTTATTGCTGCTCGAAGAAGGTCACTATGTTCTGATCAAGAACTTGAGAGGATTCATGAATCACTTTCGGAAGAAATGGTGTGAGCACTACTGCGATCGATGCCTAGCAGGACTTTCTTCTAAGAACTCGTACGACAAGCATAGGCGCCTGTGCTTGACGCACGCAGCTGCGGCAATTCACATGCCGACACCAGAAAAGTCCACATTGGAGTTTAATACCTTTAATAAATGCCTCCGGTTGCCCATGTTCGCGTATGCCGATTTCGAGTGCATTCTCTCAAGATGCGATGAGGTGAGAAAACATCTACCTTTTTGCTATCATTTGGAAGTGATAGATTTTTTTGACATGTTTGGAACGAGGTGTTCCACATCGGAGAAGATTGTGTATCTCACTTTCTCACTATAATTTTTGAAATGAGGGATGCAGCGAAAGAATACGTTATGCAACACGAGAAATCTCTTGTCGTTACGGAGCAAGAAAGAAAAGCAATTCTTTTACAATCAGATTGTGCAATTTGCGGTAATCCTTTTGTGACCGGAGAGGAAAAGCACATCGATCACTGTCATGTGACGGGTGAAATCAGAGGAGCCACGCATCCCACCTGCAATCTAGGATTCACAAATGCCAAAGAATCTTTCCGAGTCATAATCCACAACGGTGGAAAGTACGATCTGAAGCTCATATTGAAGGGTATTGCAGATGGGAAGCATGGATTGGCGAAGGATATTCAGGTGATACCTCGTACGGAAGAAACATTTCTTGTTGTGAAATTGAATAGAGTCACATTTCTCGACTCGTATCAATTTCTCAGCTGCTCGTTAGACAGTCTGGTTAGTTCCCTCGGTTCCGATATGGACCTGACAATTTTAAAAGAATCCTTCCCTCTCGCAACTCAGGAACAAATGACATTACTCCAGAGAAAGAGGTATTTCCCCTATGAGTATATCACAGACTTTAAAGTCTTGTCTGAGACAAGACTACCTCCTAGAGAATCCTTTTTTTCCTCGCTGACAGGGGAGACCATTACCGAGACACAATATCAGCAGGCAATGCTTGTATGGAAGACTTTCTCTTGCAAAACCATTGGAGATGACGCTCAGTTGTATTGTCGCGTCGACACGATCCTTCTCTCGACCGTCTTTGAGCGATTTCGTAAACAAACGATGCAGGACTTTGATCTTGAAGCATGTATGTTCGTATCACTACCCTCGTTGAGCATGGCAGCAGCAATAAAGACCAGTCATGTCAAGTTATGATAGATATAGGCACTGATATAGATCAACACCTGATGTGAGAAGCTGGGATTCGCGGTGGTATGTGCATCGCTCCCGAAAACTTTATCAAGGCAGGCAATAAGTACATGGGAGCACCATACGATGAGAATAAAGAGAGCTCATTTATTTTAGATTTTGACTGTAACAGTCTGGATGCATTTGTCATGTGAAACATTAAACTTCCTTGTGGAGATTTCCGCTTTCTGAACGAACAAGACATTTCAGACGTTAGGATCCGTGAATTGAACTCTGAGGATGGAACAGGTTACATTCTAGACGTTGATCTGGAATTACCTAAGGAGATACACCATCTTTTGGAATTGTTACCTCCCGCTCCTGAAGTCATGAAAATCAAGGAAAAGATTCTAAGCGCGTATAATCGGAAAAAGGTGCATACTGCAGATATCCCTCTCGGCACAATAAATCTTCCGTATCAAAATCAAAAGCTGGTGGCGCATCTCGGTCCACACGAACACTACGTCGTGCATGGCCTCACACTTCAATTCTATCTCGAATTGGGAGTTCGAATAAAAGAGACACCAGATTCTCGCGTTTCAGCAAAAGGCCTGGTTGAGAGACTACATCTAAGGTAACTTACAGAGAAGAGCAAACGCCACTTCCAAGTTCGAGAAATACCTATACAGTATGAGTATATTGATGCCAATTTCCGATTTAAGCGTACTTTCAGGAATGATCATGTGATCAGCAGTGTGCTCGGCATAGCCCTACCCGCTTTTTTCACAAATTCTTTGCAACGGTCATAAATGACCCATAAAGTTGGGTCATAAATGACCCAACTTTATGGTCTCTTCCCCGGTATGAAAACCCCCGTCTTCAGTTCGAGAAGAGGCAGTCAGTCGCTTGCACGACTCAGCAGGTCGAGCTAGGAGCTCTCTCTAAGCTTTAGCGCCTGCCATGCGTCTGTGGCTGGACGACTCCTCCAGAGATCGGTGGACCTGATTCCATTCGTGGATCCACCCATAAAGGAAGTGGAACGGCTCAGAAGGCGCTGCTCCACCTTGCTCGAACCTCGAGCCAGGACGTACAACGACGATGTAGGATCCACAGCTCCGAACGACTCCTTCAGGACCTTGGTGTCTCCAGAATTCCAGTTGTTAATTAACTAGTCGGCTCGGTTTGATCCAAACCTTGTGCGGAAGTGCTACCAGATTGTAGCGCCGGTAATCCCTTTCCTTAGGGATAGGAAGACTTAGTGACCTAGGTGTCTGCAGACGTTAGAATTTCCACGGTTAATCGACTCCTAACGTGAGGCTGGCACCCATTTGAGAAGAGCTCGATTCTACCTGATATTTCATTGCAGCAAGTGGTCGAGGACAGGACTACGGGTTCCCCGAGATCCGTAGGTGCGGAAACATTGGAGGACAGCAAGACGCCATTTGGAGTTCCCAACATTGGACGAAGATACCTTTCAGACATTCCCTGAATCTCACAAGTCTGTAGTCATTGCGTAGTCAGTAATAAACCAGGCCCATATATCCATCAAACTGCAATCGTGTTCCATTACCCACCTGCCAAATCTTTTCCGGATAAAAGTATAAGTACGGCAATCAGCCGTCTGCGAGAGATTTCCCGATTTAACTCGCATGAACGCAACAAGAACAAAGTGCGGCGAACAAAATTAGAATAGCTAAAAAAACAACGAGATGACGTAATCATTATCAAAGAGGTTAATGTCGTTAGGATCAAGAAGAATCCCTATCGTTTCGCTTGCGGATATTTCCCATTTGCAGTCGACAACTATATAAAGTTGGTCATATAATGAATGCGGTTCCCCGTTTATAGAAACTGACAGAACTTTACAATGACAAATACATCTCTGCGGAATTCTATTGTTCATACCTTGTCAGGAGGAATCTCACTATCCCGTCCGAGTCTTGGATTATTTCGTAAATCCCAAGCGTGGAAAACGAGAGTATGAAACTGAATTCGTGGACTATCTTGACACACCTAAGCATGGGCGACATTGGAGAGGCTAAAGAAGCTTTAGATTCTTTTGCTCTAATCAGAAGACCCTGGCCGTATATCTTACTAGCGAGTTTGTTTGCCCTTCGGGGAAACAAACTCGCTATGGTCGCGCCTTCGCCGCTCCCTTACCTTGGATAGGGATTAATTCATTAATTTTTTGCGAAAAGGGAAACACGTATTTAAGAAATTGAAATACATGACATTTGGATCGAAAGTCTTGATTTTTATCAAACTCATTACCTCTATGATTCTGTGTGCCTAACTTTAAATCTTTTCTTGTGACACTTTTAGAAAGGGTGAAAATACATTTTGAAGTACTTCCATATTATAATCTACGCAGGAGACATATTTCAAAATTAGGATTTTTCCTCTGCACAGCCAACAAACATATACTTTTGAGGGAAGTTTCGTTACTCTGTTTCGTTGAATCAAAAAATCAGGAAATTGGGACTGAAAAAAGGGTCATAATGGGATACAACGAAAATTTTTTTTCTCTTGAAATGTAGACTCAGGGAACTCCATGCCAACCAGTTTCAGCCTCATACGTTTCCCCTTTTTGCTGGCGGAAAAAATGTAGTTGGAAAAGCCGACCCACCCAAAAGCTATGACCGGAGGGGATGCCCCATGAAAGGTCAATACTCCCTCAGTTCAGTAATATCATGTCACTTATACGTGTGCCAAGTTTCACCTTTCCATTTCTGTCCAAATCGTCAAAACAATTTTTTTTCCAAAACATCGCCCCTCGAAAAAATTCCCCCAAGAGATGTATCGAGACTTAACATTTTTATTTAACTCCTTGTCTCAGTAGTCACATTCATGGAAACTTTCACATTTCAATGTTCATAAAAAAAATTGACAAAAAACATCACCCATTGAAATGTGTGACCCCTGGGCATTTACTCCTAAAGTTTGAAGTTTTCTGCAACATCCCAATAGGAAGTTATGTACCAACTTTCATATTTCCACACTAGCTTAATACACCAGGACCAGAAAAATGCTTGAAAACGTCGGCTCAAGAAATATGCCCCCAGGGCATGGATCTAAAATTTTTCATTTTTCCTGAATTCATCATCTCGGTAGGCACGTCCATGCCAAGTTTCAGCTTTCCATGTCTCACCGTTTTACTGTCTGCCAAAAAAAAACCAAAAGAAAGACGAGGAATGACCGGGCGTTGAACCCATAACTTCGGTTTGCAAGTCAGAGGTGTTACGACACCCAACACATTCAGTTGACGCTCTGAATGCCATCCTCATCTGTCACAAAGTATATTTAAGAAAAACGTTTCCCCCCAAAATTTGTACCCCCAGGGCATATACCTCCAAAGTCGGATTTTTTCTGAACTCTGCATCCCAAAAGGTACATGTGTACCAAGTTTCACATTTCCAACCCTTCTAGAACATGGTTAGAATTAGCGTCAGTCAGGCAGTCAGTCAGTCACGATCGTCTATATATATTAGACGATTTCGTACCGATCGAGAATCGTGCGTGGTCGATCCGTCTCGTATGATTGCTGCATCGCGAAGGTGCAAACATGCGAATGGGAAATACGTGGAATCGAATTCGAACGAGTGCGAAACGATAGACGATCCCCGTCGTCCGCACAACGAGTTCCGTGCCAAAAATGTTTTCGCATCCAACGAAGTCGGCACCGTTGGAACGAGGAACGGAAATCGGCCGGAGGAAACGGTCGAGAGCGAATCCTCCTTGGAGACGGACGATCGCGACGTCACATCCACCGACCTTTAACTTAAGAGCGTCCTGCACAAATTCGAGAACAAAAGGGAAATGACTTCCAGTTCGTAAAATTCATTTATTTTTGTTACGTAACTGTCGCCCGTATGAAAGTGAAAGATGGAGCAATACTTACGCCATTTCCTCTTTGTAATCACACCCAACATTCCTAAATGCCAAACTATTTATTATAAGAGGGAAGGTGACCCAGTGAATATCGCGGCGGGAATTCCCTTCGCTCAATGACCGGAGGGAAGTGGCCCGTTCACCCAGTCCACTATCTGCTTGTCGTGCCAGATGTATGCTCCTTTTGGCTCTTCGATGTTTGGAGGCAGGAGAGCCGCGTACACTGACGATACGGCACCTTCATAACGAAAGGAAAGAAGAAAGGATGAAACCCTACATTTTTATTCACATTCTTTTAATTCGAGAGCAACAATGTTTATCCTGGAGTCGTACAGCTAGAAATGAAATGATTTAACTCGCGCGCGCCCGCTTACCACACTGACCAGCAGTGGCTCATGCAATATTGGCTTAGGCACTGGTTGTTTAGGTGGCTGTGACGGTCTTATGTTCTCATATAGTCGATCTTCATGAGTTATTTTTTCCTTTCATATTCTTTGCACTTGCATCGTGATTTTTTGATAGAAGAATTATACTATTAGAAAAATATAAATATATATATTTAAAAAATTTACATCATATCTGAATTTTAGCAACATCTTGCTTTCATCTAAAAAGCAGTGGCCAGGGAATTCTTATGAATCTGTATTGAACAACATGTATATAACGTATATCCATAGAGACTATTCCAAACACCCGATTCGGACTGACGTTTCCATATGAGAAGAACTTCCAGTCATTATCTTGCCGCACGGAACACTCCACAGAAATGATTGAGAGGAGTGCACGTGTGACTGTGAGTGCGTACCGTGATTTTTTTCATATCTACTGAATGCCCTTGCCGGATTTGCACCAGATCCAGGAATTTAAAACTCTTACGCGACCTGAATGAAAGCATCTTAATAGACCAATTTCGCATGTCTACAACTGCAAATGCGAAATATCGTTTCTTGGAGGAGAATGATAAAGGGAATGAGACCTTGCTGGACGGTGAGAGGTCCTTTGTGAGAGCTCATGTCGGTATCCACGTAACCGGGATGGACGTGGTTGACGACGAGGTCGACCCGAGAATCCTGGAGGAATTCCCTCTGCTGGATCCGCGAGAGAGCACTCACACCCACTTTGGAGACGACATAGCAGCTGTTAGGCCATCCTCCTTCGCCGTGCTTTCCTTCCTTCGCCCTTCTGAGCATCCGCGTTTTGAAGGTAAACATAGGAAAAATGACAAAGAAGTTATTTTGTTACGTCGGGAGGCTGAGGCTTCCGATGCAAAGAAACCTTTTTTGCCCAGAATTTTTCTTCTTGTGAGGTAAATTGGACCGAATTCTGTCCATTGAGGGTTCTAATTCGAGACGATAGCTTCGCCTACTACGAGTCTAAAGAAGCTGTAAACCCGAATAAACCTGGGGAAAAACTGGCAAAGAAAAAAACACGTTTGTAGAGCTGGCTGTAGAGGCCTTCTCTCAAAAACCATTTCACAGTTCAGTGCTTGCTCGGCGCAAACATCGCGGTGGAAAGCTGCGACTACCTTCCAACCGGTTTGGCGATATGGAACACGTGGCAACGGGGAATCGTGTTCATTAAAGGCGCTACTGCATGGCCTTGGCTTGGATGAGCGCATGTGAGAATTCTACATGAGTTTGAAGGGATTCGATATCCGAGAAGGTGCTACTCTCGATGACCGGTTGCACTCTCGATTGCAAGGTGCTACTATATCGCTAGCGCCGGTCGTGACACTTGCACCGACCGAGCGTTGACCGAATCGGCGCTATGAAGGCGACCGGAGCCAGGCGCACTGGGCATTTAGAAACACCCAAGTACTTTCCCAATCCAATGAGCGGACGATCAGGTGCAAGAGAAGTGTGCGCGGATCTACAAAAAAAACTGCGAATTAAAAACGCTTTCAATCCCAGAATTCGGACACTCGCGACGAAAGGAAATGTACGGATTCCGTTGAAATCACTCCTGCCCTTGAGAGCTTTGAAGACAGATCCTTACTTGACAAAGTCTTCCATGAGAGAGGAGAGTTTTTCAACTGTCAAATCGGGAGAAGCCAGCGTCTTCTTCAGTCCTTCATCTGGGATGTTACGGAGGAATCCGGCATAGCTGGTCAAGTTGACGACCCTGGCATGAGGCCTCAGAAGGGGGAACAATTCCTTGCACACGTTCAAGGTCCCGAAGTAATTCACACGAATCGTATTCTCAGCCTGTTCGCCGAAGGGAGCTGTAGATGCTGCCTGAGGAAAATAAACGCTTAGTTGCTTATTGGTTCGGGATGCAATTTTTATTACAAATGCAAATACCAGTAAACGGTGCGACCATGTGATTTAGCAATATCTTAGAGAACTTTCTTTTTAAATCAGACACTTGGCGTGAAAACTTGGCTGAGTTTTTAAAGAGCGGCATCAATGATTGTAGTCTTCTGAATAAAAGAAAGGCCCTTAAAGATCAGGCTCTAAGTTATGTTATGATGGCGGGAAAACCCGAATGACAAGAGAGTTAAGGGAATTCTTGGATTTCATTAGCCCGTTAAAAGCTCAGTTTGGAATTATAATTCCCTAGGTATATTTCCCCGAATTAAATTTAAAGTCATGCTTGGACAAGCAGCAATACTACCCGTTCTAGTCACTGCGAATGTGAGCTGGAAGGTAAGTGCTTGGTTGAATTGTTGCCTGCTTCTCTTGCGTGTCCTTGCTTATACCATACCTCTCCTCCCTTCCCCCTTCCTCTTTCCCCCTCCCCCCCTCCAAACCCCTTCCCTCTCTTCTCCCCTTCCCCCTTCCTCCTCCCCATTTTTATTTGGAGGGCGAGAACGAGAATATTTCACTTCTCTCTTTGACCTATTTTTATGTAGTTTCCGTTTTCTTCTGGACAAGTGAGGTACTTGCAGCGATGAGACTAGGCTTGAGTCAAGACATATTCACTGGCAATTATAGCAGAGAAAATAGAGAGAGAAATGCTTAATGTAAGTCAGGAAAATCAACAGAATTCAACTGAGAAAGAGCATCTACTACAAAATTGGAAAGGAAATATACGAATATTTTTCTAAAGCTGACCACGAGTGCTGGCGACCTTTTCTCAATTAATCTGATGAAAACCTCGTCATCAACAAGTTGAGAAAGTCTCTGAGGAAACATTAAAAAGATGGGTTACTAAAAATATGATCATGATGAAAGCAGATTTTCACTAATAAAAGAGGAATAGAACCCATTTTTATTTTGGCCAAATGCTGACCTTGTACGCAATAGCCGCATTGTTGACGAGAAGGTCCAGCCCACCGTGCTTCTCCTGGAGGAAATCTCGCAATTTCTCAATGCTCTTCTGATCGTCGATGTCCAGTTGATGGAAGCAGGGTTTCAGTCCTTCCTGAAGTCAGAAATTATTTCACAGTTCATTTCACGAGGAAGAAGGTACATGGAATCATGATGAAAACAGATTTTCACTAATGAAAGAGGAATAAAACCCTTTTTTATTTTGGCCAAATGCTTACCTTGTACGCAATAGCCGCATTGTTGACGAGAAGGTCCAGTCCACCGTGCTTCTCCTGAAGGAAATCTCGCAATTTCTCAATGCTCTTCTGATCGTCGATGTCCAGTTGATGGAAGCAGGGTTTCAGTCCTTCCTGAAGTCAGAAATTATTTCACAGTTCATTTCACGAGGAAGAAGGTACATGGAAATGCTGAAAACATGAAACCCCATTAACATTTGCAGAATGAAGCAGGGTTTGATAAGTGAACTCATAAACTAATTCTCATTTTTCAATTAATATAATGAGGAAAGTAGCAGGTAACTCAGTCGAGACGACTCCACAACGCACAGAACATAGCCGAAATACTTGGAGACTGTGTTCTAGTGTGCGAAGAGGTGGAGTTTGTGTATTTATTTCCCCGAATTGGTCTAGACTGCTCCGAACTTATTTCCCGGTGTCGAAACAGAGGATTGCCAGGTCTCATTCAAATGCAAATTCCGTTTGAGAATCCCATTTGAGAAAGAGGGAAAGGGATCGAAGGCACTTNCGAACTTGGCCCCTTCCGACTATCACTTGTTCCGGGCCCTCAAGAATCACCTGCGGGACGAGGCCTTCGACGATCAAGCACGGCTCGAAAATGATGTTGGCCGTTTCTTCTCTTCGCAATCGCCAGAGTTCTGGGCAAAGGGCATCGAGCAGTTACCCGTGCGTTGGGAACATGTCATAGACAACAATGGTCATTACATTGTAGACTGACATTGCATTTCAATAAAGTTATAAAATTTTGAAAAATTTGCGCAGAGTGTTGCAAGACTTTCTTTCCAACCCAATAATATAATGAGGAAAGTAGCAGGTAACTCAGTCGAGACGACTCCACAACGCACAGAACATAGCAGAAATACATAACAAAAATGAATTCGATACGGGTTTGTTTGAAATTTTGAAGGAACCTAGAGACTGTGTTCCAGTGTGCGATGAGGTGGAGTATGTGTATTTATTTCCCTGAATTGGTCTAGACTTCTAACTTATTTCCCGGTGTCGAAACAGAGGATTTCCAGGTCTCATTCAAATGCAAATTCCGTTTGAGAATCCCATTTGAGAAAGAGGGAAAGGGATCAAAGGCACTTGGGATTCGGCAGACCTTTTCCAGCTCTTGAACAGCTTTTCGGCCTCGTTTCTCATCCCTCGCAGTGAGGTACACCAAGCCGTGGAATTTGGAACAGAGCTGCCTCACGACTTCATGCCCGATCCCCTTGTTACTCCCCGTCACCTGTGACAACGGAGAGGAAAATCACTGAGGACCAATTCATGGTACTCATTATTGTAACCGACGAACGAAGAATTCGGCTGGATGAAACTCACTACAGCAACTCGAGACATCTTGCTCCTTTCGGTCTTGTATCTTTAGTCACGACACCTAGGACAAGATGTCACCATCACTGTAAGTCTCTTGTTATACTTCATCGTTAAATGTTTCGATGACAACTATGATCGTCTATCGACGGGTTTCATTCATGTCTAACCTTTTATCATGTGTCACCGAAGTTGGTGATTCCCGTGGATATCTTAAGTGCTAGTAAGTGCCTAACAACGCGCACACTGCAAGTGTTCTTACTTTGAGTCCCAGAACAAATAAGCAACTGTAGGTAAGGCATTCGGCGTTAAGATTGTACTCTTATTGGGAACTTCTCTTAGGAAATACCATGCCATACCTAATGAAGTGGATACTTTATGGGAGTATGGAGAAACTTCAGTCGTCCTAATCAGTATGGTGGTGAGTTCGTTGGGTTCCAATCCTTAAAGGTATATTGAACTCGTGATCGATGACAACACCTTCCACAAAAATGAGAGTTTTGTGGCATTTTTATCCTAACCAACTTCTTGCTGTAGCGGCAAGTGACCTGGGCAGTGACATAAAACAGAACAGCATAATTAGCAAATATCAGCTAACTGTAAAGGTTATGGTTCCAGACTCAAAATGAGATTTGGTATCAAATCCCGATGGTGTCAAAGATGCAGACAAATTAAGATTAAGACAAATTTTAAAAGGAGGGGGTGTGGAAGAGTTGAGCTTGCTGTTGCTTGTGCGAAGGAAGGGTGGGCATGAGAAAAAAGTACAAGTAGGAGCGGCACTGAAGTGTTCATCCCAACCGATTGCGAACTGTGCGGTGCAAGTGATTGCAACGTGGTTTCACCTTGTTTAAAGGCCCTGATACAGGAGGCAAGAACTTGCTAGCAAGTCATTGCTTACAAGGAGCAAGCGAGAGTATACACGAAGCAAGTAGATTCTTGCAATGACTTCCCTCCACTTGCTCGAAAGTTATCAAGCATCTGTGAAACGAAATCGAAAAGAGCGAAAACTCACACCTACTTTAGATGCCAGAGAGATCTTTCGCAGGTCAATGTCTATGTATTCCAACAGACCTTGACCTAGGTCTTGTCTCTGTATACCTGCAGACTACGATTTAGGCATAATTTTGTGTGACATGGCGCCACATCTCTCCAATGAAGCCACTGAGGCCCTTATTTCTGGCTTCCGTGATCGACCTTCTCTCTAAAATGTCATGATGTAGGAATACCACGACCGCTCCATCAGGGATCAGGTAAGGAAGCCATGATGATATACCCTATTATGAGAGCAATATCTTTCCCTTGATTTAACTTCGAATGCACAAGGGACTTTTCATAAAAACAATTTTCATTAAGAATGAAAGACCAAGTCTGCTCCTACGAAGTGCGGGGGGACGCCATGAGCTGGAAGGGATATTTCAAAGGCCTTTCCTCAGGTCAAGTGACCAAGCTCCACCACCATTATCATCGTCAGCTTTTATTGCCCTAGTCCGCACGTCTTGCTCTGCTCAGCACAGCGCGTTCATGGTGGATTGCACCTGATTTCTCGTAGGCCTACTTGACAGGTTCTAGGGTCACATTTTCTACCGAATGGCAAACGACTGTCGAGAACAACCACTTGTATTCTTCCTCAGTTAGCCTGAGAGCTAAGTTGAAGGTAAATGCCATGTTCTTTAACGCTCTGTTAATACGTCCGGACCTCAGATTGAGCAGTTTCTTGACCCATAGGATCGAAGCTTAAAGGTGGTTTTTATGCAGAAGCCAAGAAGAAAAGATACTTCTAGCTAACTAGCTTCTTGTTCGACCTTAATATTCGACCGTGTCCTACGATACGATGATGTCTGAAGCATTACAGACCAAGTTGAGTGATTAATCGCATTAACTTCCCATTTGTAGGAATGCAACAAGAGGTATAAACCTGGCCCATTAGGCTTCCACGACAATATTAGCAAGGGAAAGGAAGGAAAAGCAGACCATGCCGTCATAGCTGATACCTGGCTTCCAGGATTTCAGGTGTCTCCCGAGGCCTATGTTGCAGGGTAGTGAATCGAGTGTGATTGCTCCCATAAAGTCCAACTAGTCCTCAGCCCATATGTTCTCATTTGCCTGCGTATCCATTAGGACATTTAGTGACTACCCAAGATGCCAATAAAAATTCTTTTTAGACTTGGATTCATGGTGTATTGAGGAGCAATTTCTGATAAAAACATGGCAATCATCCATGCCTCGGTTCCTGGCAGGACTGGGCGAGAGCTATCCGAAGGAGCCTCTCTTGCTACGAACATCCACAAAGTTTGAACGATCCCCTGCCCCCCCCCCCCCTCGTAGATGGGGCATTTAGTCTACCCTTAACAGTCAGGCCAGCTATCTGAGAAAGAGCACCAATAGGCGTACAAGAATTCAGAAACAATTCACCATGACCACGCTGTCCTGGCGCAGTGCAAAACGTGCGGGCTAAGGCCGAATTCATATTCGCGCTGCACAGCACGTACTCCAGCGGCAAAATCCAATCCAGCATGGGCATGTTGCATTGGACAGTATGCAGTTGCATCATCCAGCATGCTTTACAGCACGGGTATGTACTCGGCCTAAGGCGAGAACCAGCAGACGATGAATATGGGGGCGGAGCTGTGATCACGTGACCTGAGCAGAAGCCTTTGAAGATCCCTTCCGGCCATGAGCAGGGCCGGCCATCGACCTTAATCGTTAGCAAGGCATCGCGTCGCCTCTTCATGTTGAAGATCTTGAAGTCCTTCGGTGCATCCAAAGAAGACCTTATCCTGACCTGGACTACCTACATCGTCTTGGAATATGCATGCCCTGTGTGGCACAATTCGTTAACTTCCGCACAGGCTAACAACATAGAGAGAGTGCAAAAGCGCGCCGTCCGCATCATTTTGTCCAAGAACTACACCAACTATGAAGAGGCCCTCACAACCCTTAACCTGCCTTCTTTGCACCTAAGACGCCAGAGTCTCACCTTAGGGTACGGAAAATCCCTTCTCACCAACCCCTCTCGACGTCATATTCTTCCACCCCTAAGACAACCATACTCCAAGAAACTACGTCTTGACACATCATCCCTTCTTAAAGAGTTTAGGTGCCGCACGGAACGGTTTTATCGTTCCCCCGTCCCCTTCATTATCAGACTCTTGAACCAATCAATCTGAACCCTATTGCGACTTATCCTACTGTTGAATCTCGTTGTCTTGTGACATGTTTGTATCTCACGACGGGACCCAATTTGTCCAGCACAACAGTCCCCGATTTTGGAATAAACCCATTATTATTATTATTATTATTGACGAGGAGAGTCTTCGGTCCCCCCCCCCCCTCGAAGCGAGGCACCCCAGGGTCTTCCTGACCAATCAGAGCGCGGCTTGCTTACAAGCCTTTTAGGATTTTGAACCGAGGGGAGAGTGAAAGCAAGCACTTGCCGGGACTTGTTCGGACTTGCTAGAGCGAAGCAAGTGGTGTTTACATGAGGCAAGTCTCTTGGCAAGTGCATGCTAGCAAGGATTTGCCTCGTGTATCAGGGCCTTAAAGGGAACAATGCAAACATATTCTCAATATTTGGTTATATGCATTTCAAAAGGAACTAAACCGCTAACCAGCAATCTAGCGGCCACTTTTAGAAGACCAACATATTTTAAACGAGAGCATGGCTGTCCGTGATATTTCAATGCCGCACACTCCTGTCCATTTTCCTTGTTTCTGCGGAAGTAGATCGTACCGTTAAGAAAATCCGGAGATATGAACATTTAAAAATGTTCAGTGAGAATAACCGTAGCTCCACTTTCTAAAGTTGCCCGATCGCTTTGGCGAACAGCCTTGGACAAGATAGATTATGCGCATAACGGTAAAAATGGTCCAAAAAGGATCTGAATTAACCCAGTGATTAGGCCGTCAGGGCAATGTTCCCATATGACTAGTGAAAACCTGCTTCTCAAGTTTCAGTGGACTCGAAAGGTAAAGAACTTTGAGCACAATGCGGAACGGTCCCCATCGTAACGGCAGAGAAATCTAGCGAAGATTTAGTTCCTAACCAAGTGCACTCATGAGAGACCCAGCACGTTCCATCTTCACGTCAACTTATCCAAATTGAGGACGGATCCGAAAGCTCACGAATGCATATTAATACATAAGACCCTTACGTTAACGAAGGCAGGGGAGGAGTGAGAGTTCTACTCTGCTTTCATCTTCCAATCGGCAAATATGGTCGTAGTATCGAGATGAAAAATTCAGTGGAACGTATAGGGGTTAAGGCGCCCTTACCAGTATGCTAAAAGACAGGCTGCACTTCCAGGATACGAAGAAGAGGAATGAAGGAGCCTCTTAAATCTGTGTCGAGTCTGTATACCTAGGAAGGGTGGTTTAAAAAAAAAAACGCTCTACCGTTTTCTATCGGAGAAACACAGTTTTATAAGTGAAGCAAAAAAATTACTTTGGATACGCGAACAATATTTGACAGTTATAAGGCGTTGAAATGCTTGCCAGCTTTTTTTTCCAGCCCTTCCCAAGTCGTGCAACGCCCATTTAAAGGTGAATTAAAGGTGCTTAGAGGTGGATCATCCCACCTCAAGTGAGGTGATTACCTGTGCTCGAAGGTCTTCAATTCAATGAACTTTCCAACTTTAACTTTTCAAGGAGCAGTTGGATCCAGCTAATACTTGAGAGAGATGTTCATGAGTCAAAGCGAATTTTTTTCACTTCCGCAAAATGGTGCTGTATCTCGATAGAGGGTGCTGTTCTCGACTGGATGACTGAGGGTGATTTGTAAAAATCTTCACCGTTTTCAAAGGGAAGAAAGTACGAATAGTGTATTCGAGTAAAAATATATAAGATTCATAAACTCTTCATATTGGGCATATAGGAGGTGTTGAGAAGATTGTCTTGTTTTTTTTTTTAATGAACAATTCTGTGAGCCATGTATTGTCCCAATACACAGTTTACATGTGGAGCATTTCACATTTTTTTTAACCACCCTCAGTCACCCGATCGAGAACAGCGCCCTCTATCGGGATACAACGCCATCTTGCGGAAGTGAAAAAAGAAATCATTTGATTCATGAACCTCTGTCAAGTATCAGCTGGATCCAACCGTCCCTTGAAATGTTAAAGTTGAAAAGTTAATTGAATTCTGAGACAGTCGAGCACAGGTTACCTCACTTGAGGTGGAATAATCCATCTCGAAGCACCTTTATTTCACCTCTAAATGGGCATGGCATGGCTTAGGCAGGGGTGCTGAAAAAAGCTGGCAAGCATTTCAACACCTTATAACTCAAATATCGATCGCGCATCCAAAGTAGTTTATTTTGCTACATTTAAAGACTGTGTTACTCCCATAGAAAACGGTAGAGCGTTTTTTTGAACCACCATATACATTTCATGGATGAAACATTGACATGAGACAAATTTGAATTTCAGCTTTGGAAGATCTTTGTACATAGAAAGCTACTTCACAATCAAGAAAGCTGCTTCACTTCAAATGTCCAAGAAAGTAGAATAGCGTTGGTAAAGACTTACTGGTGCCCTTTTTGCTGATTCCACTCGTGAGTTTGTGGACTTCAGCTTTCTTAAAATAGTAATCGAATAATATTTTTTTCCTCAAAGGGAAAAGATGTCATGTGTCATTGGTAAACTTGGGTAAAATACTGATGAAAAACGAAGTCACCCACGGCACCGGCACACAGCCTGTTACACCAATGGAACTGTGATCCTCTTTTTGCCTCACGAAAAGTAGCTCACTGACCTGAGAGGTGTGACGCAGGAGAGAAGACACCTTCAACTCCAGACGTCGGATCAGACGGAACTGAGAGTATGCGAGGGCTTGCCTGAACCTCGCTCGAGAGCTTCCCTTTATATTCGTTCTGCCGAGTCACATTCACGTATCCGGGATGAGAGTCGTTCACGATCGACTTCTCCCCGGTTGAATGTGCGCGAGGGCACGGCACGGGAGTCGACCTTGGGACAGTCCATTCGACCACGCGACCTCGCTCGCTTGCCCCGAGGGTTACGTGAAAACCTTTTCTCAAAGGCTTTGTCTTTCTTCAACTCAACCTCACACCCCCCTCTTCTCTACTGGACTCACGGACGTTATACCTAGGCCTAACCAACGTACTGTTTTCAAGTCAGACCTAAGCCTACTTTTTTTCGCGAAAAAAAACTCAATCCTCGACTTATGTAGCCAATTAGACCGATAAAGATGAATTCATGGTCTTCCAGACACCTCGTCGAGAACGTGTAACCTTAGGCTTGCAAGTTAGCAGGCCTATTCAGACTTTCACGACCCATTTCAGAGAGGAAGTGTAGTGTTAGACCGATTCGAGCCCTGTTTCGAGTTTCATGAACCAATTCAGTGTGGACGTGGCACAATAGGTCCATCTGGACTTCCTCTAACCGTCTGGACGAGGTCTGAAAAGGGAATGACTCTGGGAAGCCTGAAATGCATGGTGAAATAAGTGCCGCGCCTGTTGACGCATGGCGCCATCCTGTTCGTTCAGGGATGACTGGGTATGATATTTTCACGTCTCAACACATCGATCGGCCACTGCTAACCACCGTTTCGTTCTCGGTTCATCTCATGAAGTCAACGCAAAAAAGTCCCATGCATTAAAACCAGCGCAGTACCCTCCCTGAAGTCAGAGCTAGGACCTAGGCGTTTCATAGTTGTCGTTTAGTGTCTCCCCGCCCCTCCGAATCGCTGGCTCTCGGGCCAAGGGCGAGGGCGAGGGGGCGGTGCGCGAGGTCCTCACCTCCCTCCCTTTTCCGTTTCAATTCATAACTCAAGACAAGTGCCAATGCAACGAACCAATCTCAGGCTTAGAATAAAGAATTTTGACCTGACATATCGGATGATCCGTAATTACAACTAGGCAGTTTTTAAGTTTTCGCTGAGACATAATAGAGCATGTGGCTTACAGTTACCAATTAGCATGGTTCCAATTTTTTAGCCAGATTTTATTCAGGTGCTGTATTTCCTGGCTGAATCGGAGAAGGTCCTTCTCATTGCAGAGCCTAATCATGGCGCAAAAGTTCCACAATATCGCATGAAAATTCTTTAACAAAATTGTGCATGACGCAAAAGAGAGAGTTTATATTGCCGATTCATACCGGGGAGCATACTCATTCGTTTCTATGAACAGGTCGTTGAATACAGAAGTCACTGATGAAATTGTTCTTTCCAAGTCGAGGAAAGAAAAGGGACTTCGCCTTCACCGTCTGATTTCTTCGCGATTCTCATTCCTTTCCTCACCTGTCTACACAGCAAATATTGAAGGTGAGACCCCGCACCGCACCCTTACCCCTTTCAGGAGTTTGAACATATCGGTACGTTCATACTACTGAAAGGTTTAAGAAAGCTCACTCCTCAAAGGGTTAAGGGTGGGCATGCTTTATCGCTGGACAGCCACCCTAGGGGTGAGCATGATCACCATGAAACTAGGGTAAGAATGCTCACTGTGGTGTCCAGCACCGTTGGTGGCTGCTTGACCACCTTGGATGCAAATGCCTCACCCTCTTTTCAAGATAACATCAATTTTTTGATAGGCAGCAGGCGCCCCTCGGCATCACCCCCAGGTGATATATACATTCCCTTGGGAAATCCATTTACGGTCACCCTCCATTCTCCCCCTGGCATCCCATACGCACCCTAAGGAGAATCATTCTCACCCTTCATGAGTGACGCAATCCTTCCCCTATAGCGAACACGTATCAAAGTAAATCTATAATTCTCTAATTGACTAAATTTCCAGTTTTATTGATAGCTGATATGTTCCCAACATCACTAGTGGTTTTCCTAGGCAAGGGTTCCGTAATGATCTATCTACTCGTATGCATCTAGTGTATCTAAGTGTGTATCGATATCTGCATGCATAAGCCCTAATTAAATATATACCTCCTCCTATTACGTTCCCCGTGTACTTAATACGCGCCACTATCCGTGTGTTCTTACTTCCTCACAAGGAGACAAACGCTAACGGAGATGGTTACGAGTAACATTCCTCCAGGGGTTCACGGGGTTCCCCAGTGAAGGACCTTCCAAACTTTTGTTTTATTTGGCGTCGTGGGTTTATCTTGAAGCCCGAATCCCTCTTCTTCCTTCCTTAGGGTCAGTATTGCCAAACGTCTTCCTGGGCTACTTTCATCATTAGATAATAATATTGCGGGATTCCAATGTATTACGCTTTGCTGTAAGAAAGAAAAAAAATTAGGTTCTGAATGTAAAAAATCCCAGAGGCGTGGCTTGGTTTCTTTACAGGCGACACCACTGGGTTGGCGACTGGGGAGCCATCTTACATCGTCAATGGTAACTTTACCTCAAGAAGAATATCCAGCTGTTTCGCTTAATGAAAGCGAAAGGACAGCAGGATATCATCCTTATCAGATTACTAAATAGGCGAACATTGCACGAACCTATGGGAACCTGAGTTAGAAAAAACCTCTGGATATTATGCAAAACGAGATAAGGAAACGACAAGATTTCATCTTCGATTACCTTCGCAAGATTGGGTCAAGGGTGGTGCGTGTTCTGTCTCGGGGCTCCTGAAACCTTAATCCGACCCTGTTTTTGTACAGTAGTTGAGCCAGAGCAACTCCTGGGATGAGAATTAGCCCGGGGGTGTCATCCCTCCGGCAGGGATGAGCAAAGCGGGGTGAGGATGACTCCAGACTTGAAAAAACTAATGCATATCCTGACGGTGCTCACAAGCACCCACCTGATTGTAAGGAGAGCCTGCACGGGTGTGCAGGCTCTCCTTACGAATTGCTATGCGAGCCTCTCAGAGAGGGAATGAACACGCACAGGTGAATTGTGCCTCCAAATGCATGCTCATCCATTTTTCAATCACTGAACACCCTTATTTTTTGCTGTGTAAACATAAATTCCTCATGGGGGAATGCTCACCCCCAGCTCATCACATCCGTGAGGGAGGTTCTCCATTCTTAGTGCATGGGGTCAGAATTAAGCTGGTTTGGTACGTTAGATAGGAAAATGGTATGGGGGCCGGAGAGAAAAGGAAGTCGTTTTCTCCAATTGTCACTTGGGTCTGAAATTCTTTTTCATGCCACCCAGCATGCGAGACGAGAAAGTTGGGCATGTAAATCAATTGTATTAACCTGACAGTCTTTCTTGGTCCCCTCCTTGCAGTCGTACTTCTGCTTATTTAGAAGTCACTTGGGACTGTCTCCCAAAGTATAATTCGAGAGAGAAGACTCTTCAGGGCGCTCTACATCATGAAGCCATAGTAAGTCGAAGGGAGTAGAAATTAGGGCTGTGCTGGTGGCCACATTTGGCCGGAGGGCTGATGGCCGATTTTTTCCTCATAACCATCGGCCGGAACCGGTGCCAATTGTGGC